TTAGCCCCCCAGAGCAACCCCTCCATTAGCCCCCCAGAGCAACCCCTCCCTTAGCCCCCCAGAGCATCCTCCCTTAGCCCCCCAGAGCAGCCCCTCTCCTTCCCCTCCCCTCCCCCAGCCCCCAGAGCAGCCCCTCCCCTTCCCCCAGCCCCCAGCCCAGCCTCCCCTGGCCCGCAGAGCAGCCCCTCCCTTAGCCCCCCAGAGCAACCCCTCCCTTAGCCCCCCAGAACATCCTCCCTTAGCCCCCAGAGCAGCCCCTCTCCTTCCCCTCCCCTCCCCCAGCCGCCAGAGCAGCCCCCCCTGGCCCGCAGAGCAGCCCCTCCCCCAGCCCCCTCAGCAGCCCCTCCCAGCCCCCAGAGCAGCCCCATATCCCCTCCTCTACCCTTCGTACAACCCTGTCCCCCTCCCACCTACCTTCTCCCCGGGCTCTGAACGGCTCCTCCCCTCGCTGCCCCCATTGTTACGGGCTCTTCCGGGTGCCCAGCCCACACAGCGGCGCGCTCTCTATAGACGTCATCAAGTAGCGACAGGGGCCGGAGCAGCGGAGAGGTGAAGCCAGAGCGTCCCTCCTGCGCTCCCCCCGCCCCCTGCTGGCGGGCCTCGGAACCGCCCGCCCATAGCGGAGGGAGCCAAGTTCCCCTGAGCGGGGAGGGGCGGGTCAGTGGCCCCCCCCGCCCCCCCACTCCGCAAGGCACATCCCCAGGCTGGGCCCCGAGCTCCGTGCTCCCCCCACCCCCCAAGGCCAACTTTCTAATTGCAGAAAACCGAACAGCCTCACCGTGCCCCGCCCCTTCTCTGAGCCCCCGCCCCTTCTGAGGCCCCTGTCCCGCCCCTTCTCTGAGGCCCCGCCCCACTCACTCCATTCCCCTCCCTCCGTGGCTCGCTCTCCCCCACCCTCACTCCCTCCCCAATGCTCATTTTCACCAGGCTGGGATAGGGGTTTGGGGTGTGGGAGGGGGCTCAGGCCTAGGACAGGGGGGTGGGGTGTGGGAGGGGATGCGGGGTGTGGGCTGAGGCAGGGGGTTGGGGTGCAGGAGGGGGCTCAGGCCTGGGACAGGGGGGTGGGGTGTGGGAGGGGGGTTGGGGTGCAGGCTCCAGGAAAGATTTTGGGTGCGGGAGGGGGCTCAGGGCTGGGGCTGGGGCAGGGATTGTGGTGTGGGCAGAAGTGCGGAGTGTGGGTTCTGGGAGGGAGTTTGGATGTGGGAGGCAACGCTTACCTCAGGCGGCTACCGGGAAACGGCGACGTGTTCCTCCGGCTCTGTGCACTTCCCCTGGCCGCAGGTGCCGTCCCCACAGCTCCCATTGGCTGCAGTTCCCAGAAAATGGGAGCTGCAGAGCCGGCGCTCCAGGTGAGGGCAGCGTGCAGAGCCCCCATGGCTGCCCCAATACCTAGGAGCTGGAGGGACATGCCAGCTGCTTCCTGAGAGCCGGATAGGGAGCCTGCCAGCCCTGCGCCAACTGGACTCTTAACAGCCCAGTCAGCAGTGCTGACCAGAGTCGCCAGGGTCCCTTTTCGACCGGGTGTTCTGGCAGAAAACTGGACGCCTGGCAATCTGGTTCCAAACACGAGACCACCTTGACGTCTAGAAATGGGAGTAGAACCCAGGTGTCCTTGTAACGCTGCCTGCAGTGACTCAAGCGCATGAGACCCGACCTCAGGGCAGACTGTTAGGAACCAGGACACAAACCCCAAATTGATTGTGAATTCTATTCTTCGATTTCACCAACCAGTTATCAAGTGTGAACTCCTCACACGCTATAACAGCCTTACCATGGAGTCACAGACAATCCTGTTGGATACTCCAATCTATTGTGCCACCCCGGTGAGCCTACCTTTGTGATAGATGGTCTCTTACACCACGAATCACAGCAATATTCAGGTTACGCTCAGTCCCAAAGGACCAGTCACTTACCCCAGGTCAATTGCACCATAGATCTCACACCAAAGCCAACGCTTGTAGCCAATCCTATAAAAATCTGTATAAAGGTTTATTATTTAAGAAAAGGAAATGAGAGTGTTATTGACAAGGTTAAAGCAGGTAACCATAGATACACAAATGTGCGATAAGCTTGAATTTCAAAAGTTTATACAAGCTTCTATAATAAGCAAGTGTTGTTGTCCTTTAGGGCCAACCCAGGGTGAGCAGCTGGGGAATCGCTTGTTTGTCAAGAACAAATTGTGTCAAACCAACCGGATAGCTTTCTGTGACAGGGTAACGAGCCTTGTGGATGGGGGGAAGTGGGTGACGTGGTATTTCTTGACTTTAGTGAGGCTTTTGATACTATCTTACATGAGCTTCTCATAAACAAACTAGGGAAATACAACCTAGATGGAGCTACTATAAGATGGGTTCATAACTGGTTAAAAAAACATTCCCAGAGAGTAATCATCAGTGGTTCACAGTTATGCTGGAAGGGCCTAACGAGTGGGATCCCGCAGGGATCGGTTCTGGATCCGGTTCTGTTCAATATCTTCATCAATGATTTAGCTAATGGCACAGAGAGTACACTTATAAAGTTTGCGGACGATCCCAAGCTGGGAGGGGTTGCAAGTGCTTAGGAGGATTTGATTAAAATTCAAACTGGTCTGGACAAACTGGAGAAATGGTCTGAAATAAATAGGATGAAATTCAATAAGGACAAATGCAAAATACTCCATTTAGGAAGGAACAATCAGTTGCACTCTGTGCCTTAGGGGACCACCCTACACCCCCTATGTTCATCTTTATAAAATGATTGTGTGGTATCCAATGCAAAGTTTGTCATGTTGCTCATGATGCACTGAGCATGGTTGTTATAGTAATTGTTATAGGTTATAATTTAATGTATGTAGTTATGAGACTGAAAATGTATCATCATGGCTTAAAATACGCCCAGGCAAAAACTCTCCAAGAGAAGAGAAACGGCTGTTTCGTGGTGCAAGTGCTGGGAGGGAGGGAGGAGAAGCAGGACTCAGCGGCCCGCTCAGGGGAGGAGGCGGTGGTGAGCTGGGACGGAGAGCTGCCGGTGGGTGCAGAGTACACACCAATTTTTCCCCGTGGGTGTTCCAGCCCCGAAGCACTCACTGAGTCGGCGCCTATGTCTACAGACACCACACCAAGCAACTGAAGCATTGATCAAAGGGGAGAGCCTGGATGAAGAGCAATCAGCCAGCCTGTGGTGAGAAGTATCTAAGTTTGTAAGGGCACTGAAGGTGGTAAGATCAGCTTAGAATGCGTTTTGCTTTTATTTCATTTGAGCAAATCTGACTTGTTATATTTTGACTTATAATCACTTAAAATCTATCTTTATAGTTAATAAATCTGTTTGTTTATTCTACCTGAAGCAGTGCGTTTGGTTTGAAGTGTGTCAGAGTCTCCCCTTGGGATAACAAGCCTGGTGCATGTCAATTTCTTTGTTAAACTCATATAAGCTTGCAGCGTCCAGCGGGCATAACTGGACACTGCAAGATGGAGGTTCCTAGGGTTGTGTCTGGGACCAGAGATATTGGCTAGTGTCATTCGGTTGCACAATCCAAGGATCAGCTTACATGCCAGAGGCGGTGCGTGAACAGCCCAGGAGTGGGGGTTCTCACAGCAGAGCAGGGTAAGGCTGGCTCCCAGAGTCAAGGAGTTCACCGGTTCAGACAACACCAGAGGGGAACATCACACACACATAGCAAATGGGAAATGACGGCCTAGGAAGGAGTGCTGAGGAAAGGGATCTGGGGGTTGTAGTGGATCACAAGCTAAATATGAGTTAACAGTGTAATGCTGTTGCAAAAAAAGCAAACATAATTCTGGGGTGTATTAGCAGGAATGTTGTAAGCAAGAAACGAGAAGTAATTCTTCTGCTGTACTCTATGCTGATTAGGCCTCAACTGAAGTATTGTATCCAGTTCTGGGTGCCACATTTCAGGAAAGATGTGGACAAATTGGAGAAAGTGCAGAGAAGAGCAACAAAAATGTTTAAAGGTCTAGAAAACATGACCTATGAGGGAAGATTGAAAAAAATGGGTTTGTTTAGTCTGGAGAAGAGGAGACTGAGAGGGGACAGGATAACAGTTTTCAAATACATAAAAGGCTGTTACACGGAGGAGGGAGAAAAATTGTTCTCCTTAATCTCTGAGGATAGGACAAGAAGCAATGGGCTTAAATTGCAGCAAGGGCAATTTAGGTTGGACATTAGGAAAAGCTTCCTAACTGTCAGAGAGGTAAAGCACTGGAATCAATTGCCTAGGGAGGTTGTGGAATCTCCATCATTGGGGATTTTTAAGAGCAGGTTGGACAAACACCTGTCAGGGATGGTCTAGATAATACTTAGTCCTGCCATGAGTGCAGGGGACTGGACTAGATGACCTCTCGAGTCCCTTCCAGTCCTATGATTCTATGAAAATCCTTGCCTCTTCCCCACCCACTCTCAAGCAGCATAGAGATACCTAGTTCCTTTTGTTTGGGGGCGTTATCCCCATCCTGCCATGTGCTCTGAGCTGCAAACTCATCCGATGGGAGGAATCCACTTTCATGACTCATCTTCATGGGGGCAAGCAGAACAACAAAGTCCTTTGTCTTCTTTATCAACCCACAATAGCCCATCTGTATCGATGGACCTTTCATAGAATATCAGGGTTGGAAGGGACCTCAGGAGGTCATCTAGTCCAACCCCCTGCTCAAAGCAGGACCAACTCCAACTAAATCATCCCAGCCAGAGCTTTGTCAAGCCGGGCCTTAAAAACCTCTAAGGAAGGAGATTCCACCACCTCCCTAGGGAACCCATTCCAGTGCTTCACCACCCTCCTAGTGAAAAAGGTTTTCCTAATATCCAACCTAAACCTCCCCCACTGCAACTTGAGACCATTACTCCTTGTTCTGTCATCTGCCACCACTGAGAACAGTCTAGATCCATCCTCTTTGAAACCCCCCTTCAGGTAGTTGAAAGCAGCTGTCAAATCCCCCCTCATTCTTCTCTTCTGCAATCTAAACAATCCCAGTTCCCTCAGCCTCTCCTCATAAGTCATGTGCTCCAGCCCCCTAATCATTTTTGTTGTCCTCCGCTGGACTCGTTCCAATTTTTCCACATCCTTCTTGTAGTGTGGGGCCCAAAACTGGACACAGTGCTCCAGATGAGGCCTCACCAATGTTGAATAGAGGGGAATGATCACATCCCTCGATCTGCTGGCAATGCAGGGCATAATACCTTCTGTTGGAGCTCAGCACCTCACACTAGTTAATGTCTCTCTCCTGCCTGGTGATTTACTGTCACAGAGACTCACATTGCTCAACCCAAGTTACCTCGCCATATAGCCATTGGTAATTGAATCGGTTTGATGTGTCCACACCACGCTCCTGTGTCGGTGGTGCGTGTCCACACCAGGAACGCTTGCACTGATTTAACTGCCAGTGTGGGGCATTGTGGGATGGTTTATGAGAGGCAGCAACAGTTGATGTAAGCAA